GACGTGGAGACAGATCATTACAAAACTGTTAGGCTGTTAACTGCTCTACCCAGGCTAGCATTGCTAAAGCAAAATATAAACACATAGTATCAGGCACACCAGCTCAGATGAAATCCTCCAATACCACCTTTCACGTCTGATGCTCAGGCAGTATACCAGCAAACACATGCAGCGACATCCCCTAACACAGTCTCATAACTCTCAGAAGTCGGTGGCTCAGGCACCTCCCATGCACAAGCACAGTGGTGTCTTTCCACTTGACAACCTGTCACAGCTTAACTATATGAATAATCTCCTTCACTTTTGAATGCTGCTCCAGTCATTTCAGTTGATATCCGCTAGCTTTGAAAGCCAGTGTGTCACCTTCCCCTGTTCACATTTGTGACACTGTTCAAGACGTTACAGACATCTACTACAGCCCTCTTTAGATGTCTCTTTTCCAGCCTGAATAATCCTAGCCTAACTACTTAGTCCTTGCACATAAGCCATTCCACACAGTTGAGCTTTTTTTCGGCTTGATTAGTTCTATAACTTGTACCCCTTATAGTTCTGCTATCCTGTTGAGATGAGATCAGAACTAAACATGGTATCCGAGATGCAGGTGAGCCACGGACTCACATAATGGCATTCTTAATTTTGTGCTTTTTTCCCTTCCTAGTAACAATTGACTTTCTTGTGCCCGCTAGTGAGCGGTGAGATGGTCTTTCCACAGAACCACCTACTACATCTCTGAGACCTGACATCTGATTGGGAATCGCTAGCTCAAAGCCCACCACTGTGTGTGCATATAGAGTCAGGACTGTTTTTTACTGAATACTTAGCTTAACATCTGGCCACAGTAAATGCAGGCAGGATATAGGTGAGCTGTGCCCCAGATATACTATCAATATAATCAACTAGCTTAGTTCAGCTTCTGTGACCAATACTCAGGCTTTGATCCTTTCATAGAAGCTGCTAAAAGAAAAACAGCCAATGCCATCTGCAATCACACTTACTGCAAATTGGAAAAAAGAATCCAATAAAATAAGGTGCTTTTTCCCCCTTCCGGATATCCTTCTAAAATGAAAAATTTTACTGTCATAATGCCAAGATATAACGCTTGCGTTACTTTCCAAAAACAAATCTACTTAGCTTCAGAATGGCACTGAGATTTTCAATCTCTTAATATAGGTTTGAGTTTTTACTGAGATGAAATACAGTGAGCCATGGCTCTAATATTAAAGAATAGCAAAGTTTCTAGAATTATCACTGTTTTATACATAGCATTACAGCTGAAACAACATCCGATATTCAAAATTGCTATTTTAAAAGAGGAAAAGGACATCTTTGACTTTGATCTTTCAGATGTCTTCAGACACTTTGGACATCAATCCTAAATATGGAATATCATTAGCGATGCTGCTGCTGAATAAATAATTTGTAAGAGAGGCTAATAAATACAGCTGGGAAGCTTCTTGCTTTTACTCTGCACTGTCTGAAGCTTGAACACAAAGAAGCCAACACAAAAAAGAAACAAAAAGAAATGGGGAAATAAATGCCATGACTTGCATTACATTTCTTAACTGTCCACACAATTTTGTATTGCAGTAGTACTGTGAACACACCGAGACATCCCTGGGGTGATTTTTCAGCAGGTGAAACCTCTCTCACCACCCAAGTGCTTTGTTTGTACAGTTTTCCAGGACATTCCCACACAGTGAGAATGACCATGCTCTGTGGAGCACTTCCACACAGAGCCTCCCAAATCCCCTTTTCTATCCAACAAGGCCATGAAGGACACGTTATCCTTGCTCACTGCACTCCCTCACATACAGCACATAATCACAAAGGCAGGACAAGCAACCCTCACATTTATTATTATGGAATTACCATGCCAAGCCCATCTGGTCCACAGCATGGAGGCCACTGTCTGAGGTCAAACCGACCCTGAGAGGAGGCTATGCAGAGGGGCAGATGCTAAACCACCATTTTGGAAAGGCCACTTGCAAGTCCACATCTACACTGCCCAACTTTGGCATTTACTGACTGGAGATTAGCAGTAGGTAAGATTACAGAACTGAAGAATGCCTACAGCCAGTGAAGGGCAGTGATCCCAGGAGGAGGCATCTCCTCTCAGGTAGGAGGTGTTTCAGTTAAGTCCTCAGGCAGGATGCCAAGTAGTCTGTAGGTAGCTGTAACATCTGGCAGAGATTTGAGATTCACATCCTCACTGGAATGAGGAGGAAGCAGACACCCAGGCATCCTAAGGTTTTCTTTAGGGAGGACTGTGAAACTTCAACTTTTTCCATGTAACCGTCACAATTGAAGGTTGCTCGCTGTCCTGTCCACAGACACGCTACCAGTCCAGTAAGGACCACCAACAGCCAGGATCCTTATGCTGCTAAAATTCAGTTAGGATTTGTCTTTTAGACAATGCTGTGGAGCAGAAAATATTACACACTGTTCTTTTCTCACCAGTAGAAAGATTTGGGGATGTGTTTTCAACCACTGGTTGTGAGTCACTTCAGAAACAGATTTTGCTAGGGCTAACTTTGTGATGGGACTCCCAGGAAGGCTACTGGAGCTTGTTTTCTCACCATTTTCTCCATCTACTCTGACAGCTGCTTCCACACAAAATTAGTCTCTAGCTGTGTTCTGAACAGATTTGCTTTCATTGGTTTTTTTTTTCAGTCAAGCGGCATAACCCTTTTCAGACAAAGCAAACAAACAAGCCCCCCACCCCTAAATACCTCAGAGTGACTGGGATTGCAATGAGAACATGGGAGCAGCTTCCCTCTGAGGCTCATTTCCTTCTTTCATTCCCTATTCTGCATAGGCAGGTTACTAAGAACGAATCAAGAGTCACTTACCTGGGCTCCGGGTGACAGCCACAGTGAGACACTCCGGATTTACCCTGGGCAGCAACAGGTCCATTGAAGCTTAAGTGACCACAACCATTTAGAAAATAGCATACCGAAACATAACTCCTGGGCAGGGTGAGTGAGGAGAACAGGCAGGATAATTTGGGAGAAGCATCTTTGCCTTGAAGTGATCTGGGGAAAGAAAAAAGAATATGAGATGAATCAAAAACAAAAGGAAGACTCTGAAGCTGAAATGGTGTGCCTTATGCTGGAAGTTAATACTGAATCATGCCTGAGGGAAGGAGGGCAGCAAATATTGTTTTGACCTGCAGATGGAAGGGAAGACCATAACACAGGGCTGTAAATTTGGCCATAAGCAGAAGACCCCATGTTATTTTTTGCTGATGCTAGAGCTGCCTCTCTGAATAATAAAGCTGCACAGTCAATCTCACTGCCCTGAATGCAAGGCAATGTTGACATGATTGAAATTCACTAAACAAGGAACAGCTGAGTGAAAAAGGAACTGAAAGCAAACACAATTGGGATTCCCTCTTTTCTGCTTGTTTCTCACCATCTCCTGCAATAGGAGCTTTGAGCTCTGATTTTACAGATTGTAATAAAGAATGGACACATAGACAGAAAACCAGAATCCTTTATATAATACAATCGTCCCAAGTGTGAATGCAGCAGCCTAATGTATTCCCATGCATGTTCTCAATCACCACCAAAAGGTAAATTCTTAGAGCAGCTGTTTCCCCTAAAGCCACTCAGATGGATTCAGCTCCTACAAGGGGCAGTGCCATTGCACTTAGACCTCTACAAGCCACCAAGAGCTTCAAGCTCAGCCACATTTATTTGCACTTCCCTGAGAGACACGCAGGCAAGCCTGCAGAGCTAGAAGTGCTGGGAGTCCCAAAGCTGCGCCTGTTGTGCATGCCAGCAAGCCAGATCCCAAGCAGGGTTGTCACAACCCATCTCAGGCCTACAGGGTCAGGAAAAGGGGAGCTCGGCACAGTGTTACACCAGGCAGAAAGACAGCAAGGATTCAGAAATACAGCACACGAGTACAATTTAGCCCATTGAATGCTACCCTGTAGCCAAAGGTACACTGTACATGGCTGGCTGCGCAGGGGCACACCAGCACAGGAGGACTGCAGGGAGACCCCTGTCACCAGGGCATCACAGCTACGTGGCATTTGGGATGAAAAGCAGGAGGACAAGTTACACTGCTCGGGGCTACAAGTTGCAAGGACCTACCGCCCAGTAACGAGGAAGACATGACTCAGCTGGCACGGGCAAGACACAGCAGCTTGGCAGGGGACAGCAAGGGAAAGCCACTGTCACTTGTCCAGGCCTGGCCCCAACCTGGGTGAGGAACTACTGCTGTTGGAGGGGAGCAGGACTCAACACATGTCCCTTTGACTGACCCTCTGCCACCACCTGCACCAGCTGGGCACCACACCCATGGGGCTCTCAGCCCCACAGGGCTGACCATACAGTGCCCATCCTCACAAGACCCCAAAAATCCCAGGGCCAGCTGCAAGGGATGCCAAAATCCCCAGGGCCAGCTGCAAGGGGCCCCAAACCCCACAGGGCCTGCAAGCGCCATAGGGCCAGCTGAACCAAACTGCATAGGGCCCCTAAACCCCACAGGGATGGCTACACAGGACCCCTAAAGCCCCCAGTGCCCCTAGGCCCCAAAGAGCCAGCTGCAAGGGGCCTTAAACCCCTTAGGGCTCCCTAAACCACACAGAGCCAGCTGCAGTGGGCCCCTAAACCACACAGCACTCCCTAAACCCCACAGGACCAGCCACGAGGGGCCCCTAAACCCTACAGGGCTCTCTAAGCCCCACAGGGTCAGCTGCCAGGGGACCCCAAAGCCTACAGGGCTCCCTAAATCCCACAGGACCAGCTGCAAGGGGCCCCTAAATCCTGAAGTGCTCCCTAAACGCTACAAGGCCATCCGAAAAGAGCCCCTAAGCCTCACGGAGCCTGCAAGCCCCACGGAGCCAGCTGCAAGGAGCCTTTAACCCCCACAGGGCCCCTGAAGCCGCCCGGCGCGGCCTGCACCGGCGCCTCAGCGCGGCGGGGCGCGGGGAAGGCGAAGAGCGGCGGGACTTGTACCGACACCCGCTCCCTTCCGGGGCGGAGCGGGGGCGGATCGCGGCGGAGCGAAGCGAAGCGGGGACGGCAGCACCATGATGGCGCAGCGGGCGCTTCCTAACCCCTACGCGGACTACGACAAGTCCTTGGCCACCAGCTACTTCGATGCCGCCGGGAGGGTGAGTGGGGTCGGGGTGAGGCGGCCGGGGCGGGAGCGGGCCGTCCTCGGGAAGGGCCCGCTCCCGCCCCGGCCGCAAAGCCCAGCTGGGCAGCCAGGAGCCCAGCCTGGTCCTGCGGTACCCAAGGGTTTCTAGTAAAGACCTGTCAGGTTACAAACCACCCGGTTCCCTGGTTGTGCCCCCTCCGGGCGAGACCCTATCTGCCTGCCGGTATTTCCTTCACGTTTGGTGTGTTGTTTTTTTTTTCTCCACAGCTGACCCCCGAATTCACGCAGCGGCTGAATAACAAAATCAGGGAGCTGCTCCAGCAGATGGAGAGGGGCCTCAAGTCTGCCGACCCGCAGGACTGCACCACGTACACTGGCTGGGCAGGTAGGGTGCCCGATCGGATCGGGTGGAGCCGGAGCTCTCCGGAGCGGACTTCTATGTTAGGCCAAGGCAGACCGTGGGTTTCTTTGGCTGTTTGAATGATCGCCGTACATCCATGTCAAGAACAGTGCTTCTTCTGCATGTTTTAATCCATTAAAACAAGGGGCTGTCTTTCTTGGGACTCCCTGTTTTTGGAGCAGGTTTCAAGCTGCAGCGGGAAGACTGTGGCGTTGCAGAGCAGGATTGGTCCTTCTCTTGGTTAATAGTGCCAAACTTAGGCAACGGAGAAAGCCAGCACCTGCTTGAGAGCAAAGATGGGAGCCTTCGAAGGGGCTGGCTCCACATCTGGCCACGGTGGGGACGGTGCCAAGTAAACCAGTTCTCCGTGAAGTAAGCAGATGCGCGTGGTAGGTCATTTACCTGCAAGGAGTCCTTGCATATGGCAGCGGTGAGCTTATGGCCTGAGATAATGTCCATCTTTTCTGTTTGGGCTGAATTTTATCTTATGACATTGTCTGATTGGCAGGTTGCTCCATTCCTGTTCCCCAGGTAGTGCCCCTCCACTTAGCCAGGGCTAGTTCTGCTCCAGTACCTGCTGGAAGGAGCAGAAATGCAAATGTGAGTATAACGAAGGACGAAAGCCTTCCTCACACTAACTCTTGTGTGCAAAGCTTCCAGGAGTTTGTCTTTCTTCTGTTCTGCATTTTCAACCTGGTTTTCTTTCCTTGGGAGCATGTCCTGCCGTCCTCTCCCTATTCCTGCCCACTGGAGCCAGGGAGGACACACCTTTCTCTGCCACTTCATCCTTGACTACTGCTGGGAGCTTTGTCAGCTTTCCTGCCTTCTGCACTGTGCCAGGCTCTAGGGAAGGACCCTGGGGTAGCTGCAATTCATCTCATGCTTGCTGCAAGATTTTTTGCCACTTCTTTTTTTTTTTTTTTTTTGGCAATAAACTGCAATCCTAAATGGCAACGTTCTGCATTGTAATCTGGGTGTGGCTGGCTTGTGCTTGGATGCTATGGAGCTTGATGGCAACAGTTTGCGTGGGAGAATGGTGTTCATTATGTTGGTGCTAAACTAACGTTGCAGCTTGATGACAGCAATGTCAGAAATGCCTACTTAAAAATTTTAGTAAGGTAGACAGGTACCAAGAGCACTCTAGAGCAGTTCATAAGAAATGCTAGGATGCCAGTATTAAATTCCTGCGTGGGAGAACATTGATTTCATCAGTTGCTGCTTGGCAGCACTCTGCTGCTGCTGCCTGTCAGTTTATGCATTTTTGTTCAGTGCTGGCTGATTTCAGCTTGGGAGACAGGTTCAGTCTTCCAGTCTGTGTGACCCTGCTCTGAGGTCCCCTCAGATGAAAAGCACTCCATACGTAAAGATAGACTTCAGTCATGAGGTGCTACTTGGCATGGTGGTAGAGTCTACCTCTGGCCAGAATAATTCAGGAGATAAAGCAGGAGGAAAATTACCTGATGTTAGGAGTACCCTGAAAGTCTGCAGGGAGAAGGTAAACACCTTTCCCCAGAGACCACGTTCCCTTCCTTAGGGTGGCCGTAGGGAGCGTCATATCGGAAAGTGACTGCAGTTGTGAAGCAGTGGTTGAGAGCTCTGGTAGGATTTCAGCTCATTTTTATTTGGAATGGAGTTTCTCAAGAGGGATTCTTCTCTTTTCCTCCCAGGCATCATTCCTCATTGGGCACACAACCTTCTCACCTTGGCTGATAGGATTAGAAAAAACCCACAGACAGCTTTCCTCCAGGTCACAGCAAGCGAATTGAAGTTTGCAGACATTACACTGTATCTCTGTCACCCTCCCTTCTTTTCTAATCCTAGCTATGTTAATTTATTCAGTGCTGGTTTCCAGAGACAAAATTAATTGGGCCAAGACAGCAGCTTTTTCCTGTAATTGCTTATGTAGAAAAGGCTTGTTGAGTATCTTCTCATGTAAATCATTGCCCAGCAGTCTGAAATCAACCCGCACTCCTGTGGCCGCTAATAAGAGAGATTTGAAATGTGGCTCTCTTAGCGCAAACTCTGCGTGAAATGTAACATACTTGAGCGTACTACATTACACCCAGTAACACACAGCATATGCTGGTATTTACTTGGGTGCCTGTTTCTTTCCCAACGCACTTGACAGAGCCCTGTTCCCCCAGCCTGCATTTGTGCCAGGGAAGCCACGGCTTCTTGGCACGTGACGTTGGAGCAGAGGGAGGGAAGGACTTAAATTTTCAGCTCAGAGGCAGTGAAACACACTTTGGATCACGATTATCCAGCGTTACGGCTGAATGCCCTCAAAACACATTTGAATCGTCTTGTTACAGTTTTATTCAGTTCCCCATAGAGATCAGGGCCCCGTAGGCAACACCTGGTGTGCGCCTGGGTGTAGACCAGACTTGGCTGTTGTGTTCTCTTTTGTCTTTTAATCACTTTAGCTAGACTGCTGTAAGAGCTTTTGTGGTCTTAATCTGTTTCATCGGTATCAAAGAGTTGACTGAGGGAACATAAACTGCCATAAGCTAATTCTGAATCGGAAGCAGTTCAGATCCTGGCAGAAGTACAACTGCCTCATCCATTTTCAAATAGATGAGCATGAGGATGCCGAAGAGTACGTACATGTGAGTTGATAATTCTCATAGTGCAAGAGGCCTTGCTCCAAAGACTGCCTCGACTGGCTGGGAGCATAGATGATAGAAAGGGAATGGAAGGAGACTGACTTCACTGCTGTCACCTCTTAGCTAACTGCAGAAGCTGGGAAGCTCCTGAGTCCAGTGGCTGGCAGACTGTTGTGTCCTTCCAAGATGATAAGGTGATCTGCCACCTGAAATGGTATATAAGGGAGAGATTCCCCTTCCTCCACATTATGGCAGTGCCTTTGGAATTTGTTTCCCATGTGCGCATTCCCTTCTCTAGCAGTGTCATAGTCATGGCTTTCAAAGCTTGAGGGCCTCTGAAATAGACCGGTGAGTCCAGCTGGCCTGCCTCACCCACACCTTTTGGCTGGCCTGTTGGCAAGTGGAGATGAGGAGCAGGGCTGAGTTGCCTTTTGAAAGGACTCTTCAAAAGACACGCCAGATCAAAGAAAAGCCATTTAAGTATGGATGGAAATTCTGACCGTACCAGTTCAGGAAAGCTTCTGGAAAAACACCTTTCACTCACTTTAGTGCAGTATCTCAGTTTTAACCTCAGAACCCAGGGAACTTGCATCTCCTTAAGAGAGTTCTGTTCGGAAAAACAGAAATCCTCAGGTAATCCCTGCAGAATAAGAGGCAGTGAGGCTGCATTTGATGAGAGAGAATAGAGTGCCTTATGTCACCCACATAAACAGCATTCCT